ATATTCTTAAGTTTTCACGGGTACTTACATGTATGGCATTCAGCGTTGTTCGGGTATTGTCCCACGTCATTGTAGTTGTGCTTTTTAAAGTTGTAGCAACGTTTCGGCAGAATCTCATCTGCCATCATCAGGCTTCTGTATAGTGTTCATCTGTGAGTCAGACTTTTACAGTGGTTTCAGATTTAAATTTGGGGCAGCCTATTGCTGTGCCAGAATGGTTTTTTCTTCATCCTGATTGGTTGGGAGTCTTGGTCTGTGTTTATTGGTCTTGGAGTTTTCTGTGTTCTGCTTGATTGGTGTTTCTAATATCTTCTGTCTGTTTTGTGGCTTTGTGTGTGTGTGTGTGTGTGTGTGTGTGTGTGTGTGTGTGTGTGTGTTGATTGGCTGGTAACATTGGGTTCCTGTATTGGAGGCTTTTAGTGCAGCTTGGCTCCGAGTAAATGGACAGGCACCCAGGCACCCAGATGAAACCTAGCTTCCTAACAAATGATAGCCATCCATTTACTCAGAGCCAAGCTGCACTAAAAGCCTCCACCACCACATCAGGAGCATGCCCAGGCATTGTAGGGAGGTCATACAGGCACGTGGAGGCTACACACACTACTGAGCCTCATTTTGACTTGCTTTAAGGACATGACATCAAAGTTGGATCAGCCTGTAGTGTTTTTTTCCACTTTAATTTTGAGTGTAACTCTAAATCCAGACCTCCATGGGTTGCTAAATTTGATTTCCATTGATAATTTTTGTGTGATTTTGTTGTCAGCACATTCAACTATGTAATGAACAAAGTATTTAATAAGAATATTTCATTCATTCAGATCTAGGATGTCTTATTTTTGTGTTCCCTTTATTTTTTTTGAGCAGTGTATATTCATGTATAGTCTTATCATGATACATTGTGTGTAAACATAATTCTTGGGAATGTGAAATCAAAACCAAAGGTATTTTTAAAACAGTGTAATAGATTTTGAGGTCTACTTTTTTGTTTAAAAAAAATCATTTAAAAAGGCATTTTTCAGCCTCTGCTGCAATTTTATCACAATTCCATAAGTTCTTCCTGGGGTAATAAGAAAAAGGTTGCAGGTGGAATTTCTTAAAATATGAAATACCAAAATAAATTGTTTTGTGATGAGGAATCCTATTGTACACACACACAGGTTATTTTACTTTTAATACAAGCTGCTCCTTTGTGTTAAGATCTGGCCTTAGGATAATACTATAGCACTTGGGGATGAAGATGCAGCCCAACAGCCCAGCACTGGAGGCCAAGATGGAGAACATCTGCACAGCCACCATGTATTTCCCCTTGGTGCTCAGGTAGGTGGGTACAAAATAGTAAACAGTGCACTCATAGTAAACAGTTATAAGCTCAGTTCTTCAAACTTGTTATTTGGCATATTTGGGTGTCAAGTTCCTTTTTATTTATTAATTTTTTATTGTACATTTTTCATTATTATTCATCACATTTCCCATTTTGCAACAGCAGTGTACTGGCTATATCAAGTCCTTTTTAAATATACATCATAGTATACACCTTGATTGTAACTATTATTCTCATAGTCATACAGTATAGTCTCTTTTAAATAAATAGCATTGTCTCTCATAATTATAACTATTATTTTCATAGTTGTACCGTAACACTCTATTGCATTTATCACTCTAATACTCTTTAAACTATATTCACGTATAATCCGAAAGTGATATTGCTTACATAGTATGTAAACATAATTCTTGGGAATGTAAAATCAAAACCAAAGGTATTTATAAAACAGTGTAATTCTTATTTTACTTTTAATACAAGCTGCTCCTTTGTGTTAAGATCTGGCCTCAGGATAATAATATAGCACTTGGGGATGAAGATGCAGCCCAACAGCCCAGTGCTGGAGGCCAAGATGGAGAAGACTTGCATAGCCACCATGTATTTCCCCTTGGTGCTCAGGTAGGTGGGTACAAAAGAGATCCAGACACTGCAGAAGACCAGCATGCTGAAGGTGATTAGCTTGGCTTCATTGAAGGCTCCAGGCAGATTCCTGACCAGGAAAGCCACTGTGAAGCAGATGGCAGCCAGGATGCCCATGTAGCCCAGGGATCCATAGAACAGGGCAACAGACCCTTCCTTGCATTGCAGGATGATTTCTCGAGGCTGGGAATGGAAGTCAGAGTCAGGGAATGGAGGAGAGACTCCTAACCAGATACAACAAATGAGCATTTGAATCCCAGAACAAGAAAGAACCAGGGAGTTGGCCAGAGTCTTCCCCAGCCACCTTCTCATGTTGCTGCCTGGCTTTGTGGCCAGGAAGGCCAACACTACTGTGATTGTCTTGGCTAAGACTGAAGAGACAGCTGTCGAGAAGACAATGCTGAAAACGGTTTGACGGAGAAGACAAGTGGCTTTCCTTGGCTGGCCAATGAAGAGAAAGAAAGTCAGAAAGGAGAACAATAGGGAAATGAGGAGGATGTAAGAGAGGTCCCTGTTGTTGGCCTTGACTATTGGAGTTTCCAAGTATCTAATGAAGATTGCTAAGACAAGCACGGTGGTTAAAGACAAGATCAGGGCAAAGGAAGCCAAGATGTTCCCCAGAAGCTCTTTGTAAGTTAGGAAGGTTGTGATCTTGGGGATACACTGATCTCGTTTTTCATTTGGATGCTTATCCTCTGGGCATTTGGTGCATTTTTCCGCATCTGCAAATAAGAGAGACGAGAGAACCATGGTTTATCTATGTTTTGCAATGTTGGCTTTTTTTCCCCTCCTTCGGTCACCCTTATCTTCCATAAAGACATCATCTCTCAGATTGGTCTATTTCCTCAATTTTGATTTTGTTGTTTGTTTATATTTTTCCCACCAATCAATGTCATTTACACCTTTTATCTGAAAATCTTTAGGATATGTACTTGAAAACATTCTCTTTTGTGTGTCTCAGGGGTGGGCTCCAAAACTTTTAGCAATGGGTTCTCTGCCGGTTGTGGGTGGGTGCGGTCATGGTAGGCATGGCCTTATTGGCCTCATGCACCACAGCAAGGGGCATTTTTGCCCTCCCCTGGCTCCGGAGGCTTTCCTCGAGCCTTCAGGAGGGTGAAAACGGCCTCCCCGAGCTCTGGAGACTCTCTGGAAGCTGGAAATAAGCCTATTTATGGCCTTGCTGAATTTCTGGAAGACCCATTTTTGCCCTCCCTGGGCCTCTGCATGTGCCCTGCACCTACCTACATCTAAAATGGGCTATGTGGGGACTCCTGGGAGGGGTGGCATGGGTGGGGCCAGCCAGGAGTAGGATTTGGGAGTTCTACAAACTGCATAGAATCTTAGCTAGGGGCTCTCCCAAACCCCTGCGAACCCCTATCAGCCCACCCTTGGTGTGACTGTATTTTCGACACTTTTCTCTTAATATGCTCTTTTCAATTTATGGAACAATTGTAGAAAGAAAGTCAGCATGGAATATACAAAGATAAATCCTTTTTTTAAAAAAGTTCCTTATTAATCCTCAGAAAAATTTTGCAGAGAAGAGGACTTGACTGATGAGCCATCTTTCTCTCAGATGGTTTCTTACAACTCTGGATCTTAAGGCAAGGAAGCCGTGTTGATATGCTACCAATTCAGACCGGTTAGCAGAACCAGTAGTAAAAAAAAAGCCTCTGACAATCAGCTGAGAGGAGGGGGGAAAAGCTTTCAATGATTAGCTGAGAGGAGAAAGAAAAGAAAAGCGCAGGTTCGGCCCTCCCACCCGCCTCTGTCCTTTTCTCTTCTTTATCCTCTCAACTGATTGGTGCTGCAGACTTCAGCTGTTGTGTGGTAAACTGTGTGAACTGGTAGTGGAACAGGTAGGATCCCACTTCTGCAAGGAAGGTGACAAAGAAACACCAAAATTGAGGATTCAGAATCTCTGACCCCTCCCACTATGGTGACTTCTCCTTCAAAGCCACTCACCTTCCTGAGTGGAGATGGTCCCTTCCCCACAAGGAAGACAGTCATAGCAGCAAGGAAGCTCCCCTTCCTGAGGCACCATGAAGAAACCAAGATGGCAGCTCTCTACACATTTAGACTCAGGGAGGGACTAAGCAAAAATAGAAGACATGTCAAGGGCAATGTGGGGGCTGGATGTGTTTGTGTGCATCTGTGGCAGATGGGCTTGTTAGCCTAGCTGCTCTTCCACTGATATTAGCTAGCCATTGGGTTGAGGAATCCAAAATCCAATCCCTGCATCCAATAGTCCATCACATGGTCCAATCATTACTTTGTTCCAACTGGAAACTATCCCCAGGCACTCCCATCCAGGTGCAGAGTAACATGTCCTTGACTTTCTGAGAAAGGAATGTTGTTGTGGCTAATCTTCCACCACTTCTTATAACCCCCTCCCAAACACCCAGGCACTGAATGTGGCAGCCCAGAAGCCTCAAAGAAATATGGCTTCCAAGCTGACACTCAATTTTTCCCATGAAGAGCAGCTGTGCTTTCACAAGACTTGACCTGACCTGACTGCCAATGAGGGCAGTGGTTGGGAGTTGTAAAAAAAAAAAAAAAGCAATTCAATTGGTGTATATCAGAATACAGCCTTGGGGGACATCATACACTCCTCAGGTTCTGGGATACTTGCTTTCACACTAATATAAAAGAGAGAGAGAGAGAGAGAGAGAGAGAGAGAGAGGGCAGATGGATTGGATAGGATAGAAAAAGTCTGTGAATGGAATAACTAGAGGTAAAGTTTGGAAATAAAGTTTAAATGTGAAAAGCAGTGGTTGGTTTTAGTTGGGAAGAAAGAAAAAAGATACTGCAGTAGATTTCCTGGCAAAAGAAACATGGACATCCAGATGGTCATAAGCTCCACTGAAGAGGCAAGAGGGGAAGGAGGAAGAGGGGATTGAAAAGATAAACCATTTTGGTCCCCAGGTCCAGATAGGATAGGATGTCTGGAGTTTGTCTTGTGATTAAGAGTCTTTAACATAAATTGATACCTGGTTTGTCTTTCTCTGTGAACTTCAAGCAAGCTTATGATTATTTCCTCATAAACATTTTAAATTTAAGGGCTCTGCTTTCATCAGACCTCATTTAAATGGACATACAATGGACATCAGAGGTGGTATTCAGCAGGTTCTGACCAGTTCTCTAGAGCCGGTAGAGGAAATTTTGAGTAGTTCAGAGAACCGGGAAATACCACCTCTGACTGGCTCTGGCTCCATCTATTCTCTGGCTCCTGAGTCCCAGCTAATTGGCTGGGTCTTCTTTGGTTGCCTGGCATAGGAGAATGGTGCTGGAAAGCAGGTTAGTAGGGTAGGGAGGGAATGGGGATTTTGCAGTAACCTTCCCCTGGAGTGGGGTGAGAACAGAGATTTTATGGTATCCTTCCCCTGCCATGCCCACCAAGCCACACCATACCCACCAAGCCATGCCCACAGAACCAGTAGTAAAAAACATTTGAATCCCACCACTGCAGTACATGGAACATGATTGACTAAACGTAATTGTTTCCCTATGCAAAGAGGAAGTTACTATTGTCATGTCCAATCATCTTTTCTTTTGCGTTTCGTTTCATTAATCATAAAATGAAATGAGAAAAATCCTTTTTAGTCGGAATGTCCGAATCAATCATAATAAGATGATCTTCTTGTCTTGGTCTGTTTCATTGAAAAATATGCATGCTGAGGCATGAGTCTGGGAAGCCATATTTGGCTAAGAGTTGTGGCTCAGACAACCCTCTAATTCTCTGGAAGGTCATAAGTGCAGTTGCCTACTTGCAACACAATACCTTATGCCACCAGACTTGAAATTTTAACACAGAACTACGTCATCTTCAGTTGGACCTAAATTATCTATTGCAATGTCCTACCTGTCAATGAGTACTTCAGCTTCAACCACAACAATAAAAGAGCACACAATAAGTACAAACTCAAGATAAACTGCACCAAACTCGTTTGCAGGAAATATGACTTCAGGAATAGAGTGGTCAATGTCTGGAATACACTAACTGACTCTGTGGTTTCTTCCCCAAACCCCAAAAACTTTAACCTCAGACTGTCTATTGTTGATCTCACCCCTTCCTAAGGGGTCTGTAGGGATGTGCATAAATGCACCAACGTGCCTACCATTCCTATCTTAATGTTCCTTTTTTATTTAAATCCATTTCATGTATTCATAATCATGTTTATAATTATACCTGTTATGACAAATAAAATAAATAAATACATACAAATCAGTCCTGCAAGACTCTGTCATTAGAGCCAATCTTCCAGAGAGTACTTCTGGCACTCCTGTGGTTTTGAAAAGAACTGAGGAAGAGAAAATTACTTCACCTGGTTAAGCCATTTGGGGGACACCATTGCATCCTGGTCAATAGTAAACATGGCTTTTCCGGATCCCTGTCTTGTTAGGCTCCCAAATTTTGCCCGGACCACTGACTTGTTGGGAAACTGGGCCCAACTCATGATGTCAAGATCAGCAGCCAGCTCTCCATTCTCATCCAGATATAATCTATCCAAGGAGTTATTGTACAGCTGCAAGCTTTGCAGGAAAAGATGAAGCTAAAACAAGAGAGATGAGGAGAAAACTCAGAAAATAGAGCACGGATTCTGACAGGATCATTCTGCACAGTTCCAGTATTCCATATCTATATTTACTGCAATGCTTATATTTGGTAGGGATTTCTGGTATGGTCCATGGAAATAACCTAATCAACAAAATACATTGTCAACTTGTAAAGCATTCCTATATCTGTTTTAGAGTTGCCATAAACAAAAGGGAGGGGAGGAAATCTGAAAGAGCAAGGTGGCAGTTTAAAACCAGAAGTACGTTCCAAAACTTATCTTATAAAGACTGTAGCTAAGTAACTAGATCTTCTGCTTGTGAAAATCCTTAATTGGAGAATGTGATTGATGGCACCCAGCTGGTGAACTGGAGAATCTGATTTATGAGTCACCCAGGGGGGAGGGGGGAAACAGGGTCACAAGTGACTGTAAATTACATATGCCAGAGTTGGCTTCATACAGGTTAATGCTGGACATGTTGCTCCTAATAAATCTTTTGGTTCCTTTTGAAGCTTGGCTCAAGGCTCATGATTTAATTAGGGCAATAACCAGAATCCTGACATACATAATGTAACAATAATAAAGTGAAAGAAAAAAACCTTAAAGGACATTAGCTTATAAAGTTTATGAAATTCATTTACTATGTATTGAGTCTCAGACCATGGAAAATATTGCCAGACACTCTTACTGTTGTGACTCGGAGGCTTGAGCCTGCTCTGTTAGAAGACACAGGCTCGAGTAATGAGGAAGAGGAGGATTTGGCCTTGAGGTTTGAGCCTGCTTTGCTGGAAGATTCAGAATCATCTTCCTCCCCTTCCTCCCTGGTTGTGCCTCAGGTGTCAGCAGATAATCAGGAGAGAGTGCCGGAGTCCTTGGCTGAGGATCAAGCCGAGGAATGCTGGTTTGATGCAAGGCAAAGACACAGGCAGAAACGGGAAATGCAACGTAAAAGGAAATGTCAAATCAGGGACTGACTTGAGAGACTGACATGCCCCTCAGGAAATAAAAGAGGGCGTGTTAGCTCTGAATCCTCATTCGGGACAATTTGTTTATTTGGAATAGCAGCTTGACAAATTCTCTGTGCGCCATTTGCCTTTTGATTTATGGTCTTGTTTGTTATCGGACTTGGCAGGCAGCTTCTGGAAGACTGCCAAGGACTTCTCCAGTCAAAGGAATTTAACTCTATCATTCCTGGTCCTGTCTGTTTATTTATATTCCTTTGGGAGCTTGGACTCTCGCCTCGTGGGTGAGGTGAGACATAACACTTACTATAGTTAATACAATAGTACAATAGTACAACAGTTAGTATAAAATAGTCTTGAAACCAACTATATTGGTTTTTTAGTCTGGTCTACCTCATAGGGTTGATATTAATCTTGCAAGTTCCAATATGTTATCTTTATGTAAATTAGGGAAGGGCTAATGATTTAATACTTATAAAAGATGAAAAGGGCCAATGTTACCAATGATGCATATATAGAGTTAAGGTAAAGGTAAAGGTTCCCCTTGTATGTACCGTGTTTCTCCAACAATACGGCCTCCCCCAATAGGAAGTCCCAGCATGCTTTATAGGCATAAAATCAAATTAAGCCCCTCCCCCCCAAATTAAGGCCTATATTAAACATGCAAAATAGGGGGGAATGGCGGTGGGGCTTGCCGTTAGGAAGTACTTTTGTTGCATACCCGGATATGGTGCTGCCTGCGTTGACTTTGGCATTGGTGGGGCACTTCGTATCGGGAAACCTTCTGCCACCATTGCTTTCCCTTCTCCCTGTGCTGCTGCGGCATTTAAAGCAATGCTGCGGTGTTTGGCGCAGCCACACGTGGCCAGCCAGGGCTCCTCCCTGCAAACGGAGACAGGCGGAGACACTCGGCTTCAGGCGCTCCTGTCGCCGCCTTCCCTTCACCTTCGAAGGCAAAGCCAATTCTTTTAAAAATGATGCCCTACTACCAGTACAACAAAGACTCCCCTGGTCGAGAGGGCAGCCCAATCCCACGTGGGGAGGCAAATATCCCGGGGCCGCAGCACAGGATCGACCTACCCCAGGAGAAGCGCCCAGCTGCCATCCCTGCCTGGCTCTGGGCAGAGTGCAAAGAGCTGCGCCTGGGGCACCCAGCGCAGCTGACAGGTGGGCCCTCCTGCCCAGTGGCGGAGCTCTTGCCAAGGCAGCAAGTGCCTCCCCGCCGGACCCTCTGCTTATCCCGCCAGGGCCGCGCCAGAGCTGTGTGGGCTGGGCAGAGCTGGAAAAGCGAGCCGCAGGTGCGTGCCCCCCTGCCAACCGAAAGAGCCAGGCCGACCTGAGCTTGGCTTCCTTCCCAAGTCCCTCCAGCCCAAACCCGAAGGGGCCACTGGGAGAGGCTGCCCGAGGCAGTGATAGCGCCCACCCATCCACGAACAGGGAGGCGAGGGGATGGCAGTGCTGCTTCCCTGGCCGGTGGGTCCGGTGGAGAGAGCCCGAAGCTACCCGACCTTTCCACCCTTTGCCCAGCACGTCCCCATCCCCACGCATCTCCAAATGCGCCGGAAGCTCCAAACGCTGCAGCGGCATGAGCATTGGGCAGGGGCGCTCACTCAGCGGGGCTCAGCTCAGAGGAGGACATGGCGCAGGCCATTGCCTCACCTCCCTGTCCATGGACGGGTGGGTGCTATCACTGCCTCGGGCAGCCTCTCCTGGTGGCCCCTTCGGGTTTGGCCTGGAGGGACTTGGGAAGGAAGCCAAGCTTAGGTCGGCCTGGTTCTTTCGGTTGGCAGGTGGGAGCACACCCATGGCTCTCTTTTCCGGCTCTGCCCAGCCTGCATGGTTCTGGCACGGCCCCGGCGGGATGAGCAGAGGGTCTGGCAGGGAGGCACTCGCTGCCTTGGTGAGAGTTCTGACACCGGGCAGGAGGGCCCACTTGTCAGTTGCACTGGGTTCCCCAGGCAAAGCTCTTCATGCTCTGCCCGGCGCCAGGCAGGGATGGCAGCTGGGCGCTTCTTCTGGGGTAGGCCGATCCTGCGCTGTGGCCCTGGGATATTTGCCTCCCCACGTGGGATTGGGCTGCCCTCTCGGCCAGGGGAGCCTTTGTCGTACCGGTAGTAGGGCGTCATTTTTAAAAGAATTGGCTTTCCCTTCAAAGGCGAAGGGAAGGCGGCGACAGGAGCGCCTGAATCCAAGTGTCTCTGCTGGGCTCTGATTGCAGGGAGGAGCCCTGGCTGGCTGTGCATGGCTGTGCCAAACGCTGCGGCGTTGCATTAAATGCCGCGGCAGCACGGGGAGAAGGGTAAGCAACGGTGGCAGAAGGTTACAATACAAAGTGCCCCACCAACGCCGAGGTCAACATCCAAGCCGTCGCTGCCCACCCACCTGAGGATGCAAGGGGGGGAATTAAGCCACCCCCGAAAAATGGCCTAGCCATTTTTGGGAGGGTCAAAAAAAAAAAAGACCTGGTCTTATTTTGTGAGAAACACGGTACGTACTAGTCTTTTCCAGCTCTATGGGGCAATGCTCATCTCTGTTACAAAGCCGAAGAGCCAGCGCTGTCCGAAGACGTCTCCGTGGTCATGTGGCTG